CATGCCTGTACATGTGTATTAAAAATCACAAGAGGAGAATGGAGAAGGGATTGCTGAGTGGTCATATTCCATTGAGGGGGGGTGATTTCTTGCTTTCTGTGTTTCTGTCTCTCTTTGTCTATCTGGTGAGTGCATGCACTCTATAGCAAAAATATCTCTCTCTAAAATAAGATTGATTGAGGCCAGCTGGTAGCACAGTGGTTAAGGTACTGGACTCCCATATGGCTGACCATGGATTGAGTCCTGGACCTGGTGACTTGAAAATCATGCCAGGTGCATGTACATGCATGCCCAAAATCCTGAGAGGAGAATGGAGGGGAAGGGATTGTGGCGTGGCTGTCATTTCTCATTTTCCCTCTCATTGTCTCTGTCTCTCTCTGCAAGCACATGCGCCATATGGCAAAAACCTGGAAAAAAAAAAAGCAAAAATTGTCAGACCACAAAGATTAGGTAGTACCAGGAAACCAGGCTCTTATCTTCACAGATCTGCCAACTGACAAAGCTTGTGATTTTGGCGGGCAGCCCAGGCTTAATCATTACTACTAGAGTAGCAAGAGACTCTGCCCTAACCCTACACTTTAGGATGTTACTGCTTCCTGAAGCAGCTTCTGAGCACCTCCCATCATAGCCTTTAGGACCTCCACATTGGGAACTTGATTTGTGAATATCTGTAATTTAATAAAATAATGCCTGGTACACAATGGGCATTCAATAAGGAAGTGTTTCATGACCTCTTACCGGGGTATAAACATCTCTGTCAGGGTGCCAAGAAGGAAGGATGGAGCCTTTCTCGATACTGGAAGGTGAGGGTGTGAGGTGTTATCAAGGTGGAAAGGAATACTGAGTAGGCAGGGTCAGCACTCCTCGGTGGTCCTGGGTCCAGCAGGTGTTGGTGCTTTGTCTTCCCTAGTAAATGTTTAATCATGCAAGGCAATGAGGCCAGTAGTCACTGCTTAGTGACAGACAAAATCCTAAGCCATGGATACTGCTCTCTGCCCCTCACCTCAGAGAGCTGGGACTATTGCCTGGGGTCCTCAAAATTTCACGGAGCTTAGATGTTTGTGCACTTCATTGGCTGACTTGCTTTGTATGTAAGAAAGTATCAAGCCCAGGCCAGTAGGTGATGTGGTAGTTAAGGCGCTGGACTTCCACATGGCCGACTATAGTTAAAGTCCTGAACCTGGTAGCTTGAAAATTACTCTGGGTACTTATGCATGAATGCCTGAAATCCTGAGAGGGGAATGGAGGAGAAGGGATTATGGCGTGGTCATCCCCCCACCCCCCGGGGGTGGTGGTGGTGGTAATTTCTCACTCTCTCTCTTTCACTCTGTCTCTCGTAAGTGCACATGTCCTATAGCAAAAACCTAAAAAGAAAAAAGAAAAAAAGCCCATTCATGTGAGTGAGGACCCCTCCATCAACAAACCCATCACCATTGGCACAAAAACCAAAGGCCAACTTTGAACATGTTGACAGATGTGAATAGAAAATTTTGTTCAGGTACACGGGTTTTGTGAATCCAGAGAAGATCTTTAAGTAAATTTAGCAAAATTCAAATTGTGAATTTTCAACAGACTAGATTAAATTGGATTTTTTTGTGCAAAAAAATATATCAAGGACTTAAAATTTGGAAAGTAAACAGGCAACACAAAGGAGGCTTTAATTTTCTGACATTTTCTCTTCCAATTATAAAGTACATGTTTTGAGAGAAGATAGGGGGAAAGCAACATGTCTAAGAGCCAGAGAGAATGGTAGGAAAGTGACATTTTCTTCTTCAGATGAGAAATGAGTTTACATAACAGGAGAAGAAATGACAGAAAGCAGGGTGGGGTTAGTTCTTGTAGGAAGGAAAGATCCTGTTTCTTTCTAACAGGCAATGTATGTGCGCGTGGGCTCAGTTGGAAGTGGGTGGCGGGCTATTGGAGAAGTGTATGAAGGGAGATGATATTTATTAGCTACTGTCTACTGTCTTCCAGTGCCAGATCCTACTTAGAGCTTCATCTCATTTAATCTGCATAGCTGCACTACGTAGCTCTAGTTAGGATCTGGATTTCTATTTTCTATTCTATTTTATTCTATTAATTATTTTCTATTCGATTCTTCTATTCTATTTTCTCCTTTCCAACCTCCCTTCTCCTCTCATATCTCAGCTACTTCTGAAATAGGTATTTCTTTTTTTTCCAATTTTATATGTGACAAAACCATGCCTCAGAGAGATTGGATCTAAAATACACATCTCTTATGTACTTTGGTTTCTGGGACAAGTCTTGGGTTATGGAATAAGCTTCAAAACAGGTTGTATGACTCCCAAACCGTCCTCATCTCGTCACCTCATGCTGCCCTTTTAATTATCCACATTATATTAATAGGAGTCCAAATATAAAACAAGCAAGACCAGAGGAGCTTAGAAAACAGAATGGCACAACTCTGTCCTTCAGTTTCTTAACCTTGACAGGTGTAGACACACCTGTCAGGGATAAAACAAAGCCACATTCAGACACATTTCATGATGTCTTAATCATTTTTTTAATATGATAAAGTTTTTATAAAAGAAGTTCAACTTTATTGAAGAAGGTTTAGAGAGAAGAGAGCAGCACATTATTAGACTTTTTTTCTTAAGGCTTAATTTATGGATCTCTGTGTAGTTTAATAAAACAGTACCTTGCACGTAATAGGTGTTCAATAAGCAAGAGTTCCATTACTCCTTGCCTGGGTGTAACTATGCTTGGGGAGATTCCCAGAGGGACAGGTGACACATTTCTGGATACTGGGAGTGCGATCAAGGTGGAAAGAAATTTGGAGCAGGAAGGGCCACTGTGTTGATGCTGTACATCTCTTGTGTACTTTAGTTCTGGGACATGTCTTGGGTTATATTGTACATTCTTAACTTGGGGCTGAGACTGATTTCAGATTCTAGCCAGTTAAACAAGTGATCCAACTATGTAATAAAAGGAAAAGGACATAGGATGGTCTGTTTAATACGATCCTCCTTTTGTATCTTAAAGGTTCTCCCTGTCTATTAAGAGCTTGTTAAGTTTGGCTCAAACTCCTATTCTACGAATTTAGAAAAGTCTAATATTCTCCAAGTTACTTCAGATTTCTGAGACGCAGGGTCACTTTCATTCTAAGCACTTGTTCCCTCCAATAGCGATCATCTCAATAGCCACACGATTCTCTACTGTTCTCACTGATTCGGATGTGAAATTCAGACATTTCCCCCTAATTTCCACAGAAATGAGTTACACACATATTATGTGTTTAGCATACACTATTTACAGAGATGAAGGCATTTATATTAGAGTAATGTAAATAGTATTAGATTGTGAACTGTGTTTCATTAATTCTAAGATATGCAACATTTTAACATCTCTAAGCACATCAGAGTTTAGTTGGCAGTGTCTTGTCTTTTCTTTTTCGTTAAGTGATTATTTTTTATGTGCGCTTGCCGGAAATACAGGGTGAGACAGAGAGACAGAAAATGAGAAATCACACCCCTCCCAGGGGGGATGGCCACACCACAGTCCCTTCTCCATTCTCCTCTTGGGCATGCATGCACGCGTGCCGGGCATGTGTTTTAAGCTGCTGGGCCTGGGGCTCGAGCTGCAGTGGACTACATGGGAGTCCAGCGATGTAACCATTATGCCATCTGCTGGTCCTCAGCAGTCTTTTCTTTCTTTCTTTCTTTCTTTTTTGGAGAGGTTTTTGCTATATAGGGCACGTGGGCTCGCCGGAAAGACAGAGACAGACAGACAGAAAATGAGAAATCACCCCCCAGGGGTATGGCCATGCCTCAATCCCTTCTCCTCCATTCTCTTCTTGGGATCTTGGGCACGCTCGACACACACCCAGCGTGAGTTTAAGCCACTGGGTCCAGGACTCAAGCTGTGGTCGGCTACATGGGAAGTCCAGCGACATAGCCATTACATCATCTGCTGGTCCTTGGTAGTCTTTTCTTAAAGGTACATAAAATAATGGGGCATTTTACAATCAACTGCATCTTAGATTGGATGAAAACAAGCATTCAGCAGTACCTGCAGTGGACGCTTCCATGCAGGCTTATACTAAGCTAGGCCTTGAGCGTGCTTCACCTCGAGCTGCAGAACCCCCCTCGCCCCCTATGGCCCCCCTTTCCCCCCCTCCCGCCAAGCACAGCCTGGTGGAAGTTAACCTTCAACTAGTGGGTGTCAAGAGCAGCAGTTATCAGGGTGGAGCCTCCACCTGAATACAGGTGGGTTTACAAGGGGGGAGAGCGAGACCAGAGCAGAGACAGGTAGATGCAGACACGTGCTCCCGCCTCCCCCACGTCATGACGCAACAAGACCCTCACCGGATGCTAGCCCATGCTCTTAGATTTTGTAATATGTGCGAAATAAGCCTCTGTTCTCTTAAGTTACCCAGATTCAGCAACAGAATGGACTAAAACAGAAAACTGGCACTGAGAAGTGGAGCAGTTTGGTAATAACAAATCAGAGATGTGAGAGTGGCTTTAGAATGAAGTCATGGGCAGAGTCTGGAAGAATCTGGAGGAACATGCTAGAAAAAGCTTTGTTTCTGATGGAACGTGGCAAGACTCGGAACGTTTAGAACCTTTTAGAGGTGAACTAAATGGTCATGACCAGAATGCTGATGGAAATACAGGTAGTAAGGGCCATTCTGAGATCTGAGACGAAATGAGGAATATCTCACTGGCATTGGAAAAATTATTACACTGTTGCAGAGAATTTAGCTGGATTGTATCCATGCGCTAAGGCTTTCTAGCTAAAGAAACGTAATTCTCTTAAATTACCCAGACTCGGGTATTTCTGCTCTTAACAACAGAATGAGCTAAAATAGCCTCCCTATACAAATCTTAGTGGTTTAGTGATATTTTTAAAAATTAGAAAATTCAATTATTGATATCTTTCATCATTACAACTTATAACCCCTAAAATTACAAAAAAAATTCTACTGAGTATAACCTATGCACCAATTAACAATGAAGAAAGCATGCATTTTTTACAATTATACAAATATTTTATTCACTTGGATACATGGAAGTCAATTCAATTTCATAAAAGCTTGTTCATTTCTTAATGGTGTCTTTTGAGAACAGTATTCCTTTTATTTCACCGTTACAATTATAGGCTCATAAACTTTTAAAACCTGTCTGATACACAAAATCTCCCCCTGCTCAAAATAAGAAATTTTAATATCTAGTTGGCTTCCACAGTAAACATTACAGATTTATCCTTACAGTCACCCTTTTTTTTCAGAGTGAGTTTGAAAAGGTCGTTCTCTTTTACACAAGCTAGAAAATGCCCTTCGTATGATGATGATTCAAATTGCATCTTATTGTGTCCTGGCACTTTGCTCTGAAAGAATATGATGTCACTTTTTGTGTCGCTGATATTGTCAGGAGGACTGATATTCTAGAGAGAAAAAAAACGTTAGCTTTTTTAAGGACAGGAACAATTTGATCACATGCAGTTAATTTGGAAGTCTATTACTAAACAGAACTAATTTTTCTTCTTAAGAGTTCAGAAAAATATCTTTGACTAAAGGAATATGAATGCCCTCTCCTTTTTTTTTAATATACATATAGGGCACATGATCTCACTGATGAGAGAGAGAGAGAGAGAGAGAAATCACCCCCCGCCTCAGGGGAGATGACCATGTCATTCTCTTCCATTCTCCTCTCAGGGTTTTAGGCACAAATGCACACACCGTCAGTGTGTTTTTCAGGCTGCCAGGTCCAGGACTGAAGCTGTGTAGTTGGCTATGTAGGATCCAGCCACCATAGTGGTGGGATTAACCACCATGCCATCAACTGGCCCACAGTCTCTTCTAAGCACCCCCCCCTCCGCCTTTTTTCCCCCATACTCTAAATAAATTACTGAGTTTGTATCTTTGGTCATTTTATTTTCTCTTTAAAAGGGCGACCAAAATTTGTATAAGCTTCGGTCTCCCTAAATCTAGATTTTCCCCAGTTCCTATGACGTGCTAAACATTATTCCTATCTTCTTAACATGCTTCTTAAAGAGTGCCAGCCAGTCTCTCCCAACAAGAATGCAGTGTAGATGAGGCTTATCTTGGTTTCCGCATCTACCTCTGTAGCTCCGTTAGTTCTCCTCTACCCCACAGAGCTTGAGTTTGGCCATCTCTTCCCTTCAAAGTCTGTTTCTATGTAACAACACACTTAACTGTCCGCCATGCCCTTCCCTCCCAGGCCTCTACTACCGGCATGACTACTAAACTTCCTGTCTATCAGGTCTGGAGTGGAGACTCCATAGTGCCAGCTGAAGGGGTGGAACTCTAAAAGGAGATTGCTGAGGGGTTCACTTGGAAGCTCTGTCTGTTGCATGCCACTGTTCTTATGCAGATTATATTCTCGAGTGGCGTTTTTCCTCTCTCCCAAGTTGTCCCTTGACACCTCCACTAAGGTCATATCCTAACTTTCTTTCATAGGGACTGAGTGAACCTGATGAGACTTATTGGCGAATCTTCATGATATGAGATTCTCCTTTGAAACACTGTCTATTTGTGAGCATCTCCTCACTGCTCTTATTGATTAGAAAATATTCTGGGTTGGAGTTAGCAGGTGACATAGTGGTTAAGGGGCTGGACTCCCACATGGCCCAAATGCAGTTCAAGTCTTGAACCCAGCAGCTTGAAACTCATTCTGGGTGCATATGTGTGTGTGCCCAAAATCCTGAGAGGAGAATGCAGGAGAAGGGACTGCGGCATGGCCATCTCCCTTGGGGCGGTGATTTCTCACTTTCTGTCTCTCTCTCTCTCTCTCCAGTGAGCACAAGTGTAATATAGCAAAAAAAAATCTCTCTTATTAAAAAAAAATAGTATTCTGGGGTCAGTCTATGGCTATAGTTCATGGATATTTATCTAATAATATGAATAAAACAGAAAAAATAAGAGACATAAAAATAATAAAGAAAAAAGTAATGGCTATAAATAATGTAGACCTGGCTTTGGCATAATAATGATAATGTTACATTGACAACTGATCTTATTCATTTTATTTAACCAGATCAACTTTCAAATGATAGCATGCACCAACTGAAAGCTAAAGGATGTGGTCATAATGTTACCACAATAAGTTAAAAAGTTAGGCAATTTTTACTATTTTAATAGTTCTTGGATTCTTTCTAATTCTTTCCAGACAAAAGGTCAGACTCAGGTTTTCTACGTTTGTCCATTAATATGACTAAAGAACAAAGTGAGGCTTGGTCTTACCTTAAAGGAAAGAGTTTTGTTCTCACAGGAGAGAGTAGAAATTTCATTATATTCCACAGAGATGGCTACAGCCAGACCTCTAATAAGGCTGTCTCTATACATAAATATTTTAAATTTGACCTGGGATTTATTACCTGAAATAAATATTAATAAATGAGAGCACTAGTTAGAAGAATTTTTGCAAGTCAATATTTGTGAAAGTTTAACCCAAAGAGAGTCCTGAATAGATCCGTTTACCCATTGTGCACTCAGATTTGGCTAATCAGCAGGTCACAATATACAGTGGTCATTTTTATTTTCTTGTTTTGGTCAGAGGGAGCATGCACTTGCCATAGAGAGACAGAAAGAAAGAGAGCACAAAAGCACCCCTAATGGGGTGTGGTCATGCCATAGTCCTTTGTCCTCCATATTGCCATCCCATCAAAACTGGAAGCATACAAGCACATGCACCCAGTGTGATTTTCAACCCACTGGGGGGCCAGGACTTGAACTACAGTCAGGCAGGTGCCATCCAGCTCTCTATGTACAGCACTTAACCTCTGCAGTATGGGGTGGCCCTTTTCTTTCGTTTTTTTTTTTTTTTTTTTCTTTTGAGAGGTTTTTGCTATAGGGCGTCTGTGCTCACCAGAAAGACATAAGAGAGACAGAAAGACAGAAAGCAAGAAATCACCCCACGGGGGGATGGCCACACCACAATCCATTCTCCTCCATTCTCCTCTCAAGATCTTGGGCACACATGCACATGCACCTGGCATGAGTTTAAGCCACCGGATCTGGGACTCGAACTGCAGTCGATTATATCGGAGTCCAACCACATAGTCATTACGCCAACTGCTGGTCTCAGCCCAGGCATTCTTTAAAGCATATTTAAATGTGATACAACACACATGAAACAACCTTTGGGGTGTCTTAAAGATATTATGAATTCTAAAAAGAAAAATAGTCTTTAACTTTTAAATGCTAAATAAAATATTAAAATATATTTGCTAAAGTAAAAATTTAATATTTTTCAAGAATACATAGTTACTGTTTCAACCAACCCTAAAACTCTGATATTAAATTCAAATCATGGAAGGTACATAAGCTTAGTCATTTTCTAAGGCAGTCTAAGTTTCTGTGCCAGGCAGAATCATTTGAAATGCTCGCATATTTATTTTTATTTCAAATTTTAAAAATGCTACCAGTGTTTACAGCTACACCCAGCAGGGATTAAGGGTCCAACTTTACAGAGATCTTACACAGTTCATGCAACTATAATTAAAGGGGTTGGTGATTTTAGTGTAGGCTCAAAGTGGCCCAATCCCTGGCAGTGTACTTATTTATTCAGTTTTTTACTCCAACTAAAATATAGGGATGCCCTATAAGGTTTCTTGTAAGTGGAATTATTATTACTATTATGATGTTTCATCTGAGGATTAGGTCTAGCATAGAAAAATGTAAACAGTAAAATAGAATGGGAAGAAGTAGCTAGTTATTTCTAGGTTTGCAAATAAGTAAATTGAAAAAAAATCCTTACTGTCAGTGTCAGGCATATCTTCAAACAGAAGTTGCTTTTTCTGATCAATGAAGAGAACTTGGTTTTTCACGTTTCGTATGACGGATAGTTTAGGTTCAAGCTTGGCAAAGTGATCTGATTCCAGGTTTTCTGCAATATATATTAAATGTCATTAGAAAAAAACAATTTCAATGCTATAATAGAGTTGCCTATTATTTTTTAACCTACTTCCAAGGGCACACTCTATTTCTTGTTTGCACTTAGAACTATCTGCCTCTGCCTCTGAAATGTTAACTTTGGTTATCCTACTTTCCATCCAGTCTCTTATCCATATATATATATATATATACACATACATACACACACACACATATATATATGTATATTTTATTTATTTATTTATTTTTGGTAGAAGTTTTTGCTATAGGGTGCAGGCACTCACCAGACAGACACAGAGAGACAGAGAGACAGAAAGTGAGAAATCACTCCCTGGGGGGATGGCCACACCGCAATCCCTTCTCCTCCATTCTCCTGTCAGGATCTTGGGCACACACGCACATGTGCCCGGCGTGAGTTTTAAGCCACCGAGTCTGGGACTCGAACTGTAGTCGATGACATGGGAATCCAGCAACATAGCCATTACACTAACTGCTGGTCCCGCCTTTTATAATTCTTATGCGTCTGTTCTAACTATACACATTTTTAAACTTCCTAAGTCCTCCAGTCTCCTGATTCTTTAATGTCCTCTTTATCTATCCTCTTCATCTTCCTTCCTTTCCTGTGCAATATGGTTTATCATCTTACCTGCTCTTTTGCCAGTATCTTAAGTCCCCAATTTATCCTTCTGCTATAGAACTCCAAACCTGGCTGTGGAGTGTTGATGATATACAGATGTTTAGGTTGGTGACTGTACGAGTACATCAATGATCAATACCACGTTCCTTTTCCAGTTTGGCATTCATTTAAATAGCCTACTGCTGCAATTTCAAATCTTCACTTTCTTCAGTACCTCTCCATCCTCACCTCCACTCTCACTCTCACCAAGTAACTTCCTGAGGCTCCACTTAACTGTGACAACACCAGTTATTTCCTCTGCCTCTCTTATCCCTTTCCCAGCTGCCCTTTCTGATATCTAAGGCATTAGATCCCATCTTGCCCTGCACGTACTCTCTACTGAGACATGATTTACCAATCATCCCTTCTCCTCTCTCAACCTAGCAATTCTACTTCCTGGATTCTACAGAAACAATCAGATAATGTGTAAACATTTCTGTACAAGAATGCTTATGGGAGCACCTGTTAGTAACAACAGACAGGCCAACTGTGGTGGCACAGCAGTAATGCAGTGCTCCACAATGTGGAAGTCACTTGGGAAGGTCCTGGGTTTGCATCCTGAGGTCTGCTTGTACATGGCCAGGTATGTGTGCACGTGTCTGTGGTCCTGGCTAGCTGAGGCTGGGGGCAGTGTGAAGACCCTTTGGGAGGGGCACTTTTCCTTCCCTCATGGAAGAAATAAATAAACTTTAAAAATAATGACAGCAAATTGAAAATGTTATAAATGTTCACTCCTAGGGATTACTTAAATAAATTTTGATATGCCGTTACTATGGAATATTATGAAGTAAATATCACTGCGATTATTTGTTGCCATGGGAAGATGTCCATCTATATCACTAAATAGATATGCTTAGGTATAGTATAATCCCTTTCAATAATAATATAAGCATTTGTGTATACATATATATTTATAAAAAGTATAGAAATATTACATCAAAATGATTGCTATTATTATTTCTGGGCGATTTTCCTGTTACTGTTTTTTTTTTTTAATTGCCTGAATTAGTTGTAATCATATTATTTTTAAATCAGAAAAGCATAAAGATTTTCATTTTTGAGATTTATGTTGAGATGTAAACCTCTTTCCCAACTCTAGCCCACTCTGCATCTTGTTTCTCTCCTTTTAATAGCCAAGCTTCTGGCAAGAATTGTCTGTTTTATCTCCTTAATTTCCAGCTGCTCTTCTACTCGCAATCTGCCTCTGCCTCCATTTCTCTGTCAAAGTACTTTGATTGAGGTCACTGACCTCACCGTTGCTAAATCTCAGCTACTTCCTGGCCCTGAATGTTCAGGGCTCGAACTTCAGCTGAGTGCATGTTACCTCCACCCTACGTGCCCTCCTGGGGGTCTGGCGTTCTCTTGTTTATTTCCCTCTCCCTTTTAGTTAGTGGCCTCTGTGTTCTGTATTAACTTCTTCTTTTTACTGCATCCTTTTTTACTGCTTGCTTGGTTTTTACTCTCTCAACTTACATGTTTTCTCTGATTTTCTTATTCTTACAACTTCAGATGCCATTTTTCTGCGTATGCCTTTACCTATCTCTAGTGTGAATTCTTTAAAACCCAGAACTGAATGTCTAAGAATTTACTGGACATCTCTACTAGGATGTCTCATGGATGCTTCAAGATCCAAAACTAAACCTGTCATTGACTTTCCTCTTTGCCCTAGACACCAAACCTTCGTCCTGTATTTCCTATTTCACTAAATGGTACAGATTTCCTATGTGAGAAATGAAGGCATGATCTTTTTTGTCTTCCTTTTCACCTTCTTCCAAATCTAGGCTCCATCATGTCCTACTGATTCTTTCAAGTGTTTCTGAGATCTATTCACAGCACCCTGCTATGCCTACCCAAGGTCATGTCACCATCATTTCTTACATGGTCTAAAATAACAGTCTCTTAACTGACAGCTTTCCTTTTTTGTCTCCCACCCACCCTGCACCATCAATTCTTTTTTTGAAGCCAAAGATTATTTTTTAAAATACAATCATGGTATCTCAAAATTTTAATGACATGGCTGCTCAGAATAAAGATGATATTTTCTAGATTTCCTTATGGTTGGCGTGGCCATGTACTAAATATGACTGGAACTGATGTGGAATTGATGTACAGATTCTCAGTGGAGTCTCTAAAAGGAAGGGGTCTGTCTTCCTCTTATCTTGACTCTCTCAGCAACCAGGATATAGACCAGGAAATAGGAAATCTGATGATTTTAGACTATGTGGATGAATTCAACAACTGGGGAGTGATAGAATAACAAGAGAGAAGAAACTTGAGATCCCAATGTCATCAGGCTGCATTTAGCCATAATAACCCTGCACAGCCTACTTGAACTTCATTTAAGAGAAACATTTCTATCTTATTCAGCTAATATATTTTTGGGTCTCTTTGTTACTGCAAAGTAATGTATACCTTAGCTAATACATACTGTGCCTAATGAATCCCTATTACCTTGCAAAATAAGATCCAAATTCCATATGTGGAATAAGAGAACTTCTGGATCTGTACCCTATTTATCATTCTATTAATAGCTTCTCTCATCATTCTATTCCCACCCCAAATTCCTCCTAATTTCTTTCTTTTTTCTTTTCTTTTCTTTTTTTTTTTTTTTTTTTGAGAGGTTTTTGCTATAGGGCATGTGCACTCATGGAAAGACAGAGACAGAGAGACAGAAAGCGAGAAATCAACCCCCTGGGGGGGATGGCCACACTGCATTCCCTTCTCCTCCATTCTCCTCTCGGGATCCTGGGCATGCACACACATGTGCCCGGCGTGAGTTTAAGCCACCAGGTCCGGGACTTGAACTGCGGTCGACTACATGGGAGTCCAGTGACATAGCCATTACGCTAACTGCTGGTCCCTAAATTCCTCCTAATTTCTCAGGCATGCCATACTTCCTTTGAATATGGTCTGTTTGCTTTGTCCATCCCTATCACCTCTACTTCTAGAACTCCCTGACCCTTGAGAGTCACCCAGGCTTCTTCCAAAGGCATTTCTGAGAGAGGAAGTTAAGGAAGGAAACTGTCACTGATTTGGGACAATTCTTATGTTTCAATTCCCTTTCCCTTTGCCCTCCAGAGAATCCATGACTTCCCACTAGTCTTAAGACCCATGCCATAGGTAAGGTCTATTTTGTAGATTCTAAGAGCTGGAGAATTCCTTAAGCTGGAGAAGTACATTTATCCCTTAGGGTTGTCTTGATTTCAAAGTTTCACTGTTAAGTCCATATTCCTTTGAGGGGACATGAGTTTCTCAAGTAGACTGGTCACACATGGACGGTCTCCAGTTGACAGTGGTGATATGGATCTGACTTAGGCAGCTACTTTGCAAAGAAAAACGCATAGATACTTTACCGTCGTCTTCAGCTAAAGGGGAACAAAAGAGAAACAAAATATGTTAAAATCTATATTTTAATTCAGAACTTTCTCCTAACCTATCCTTTTACTACTCTTTTCTGCCATTCTCCTGTTTTACTGGTCATAACTTTTATTGGTCTCCCTCAGAAATACGATTACATATGATCACCCAAAGGTCCATAAAATGAAGCTCATTAGACTTCATATGTTTTCAGGTAGAATAAAACTTAAATCTTGGAATTATAAATTTCAATATGTAGCTACAAAGAGATTTTTATAAAATGATAGATTTTAACTCTTAAATTGATTGTTTAAATGGAAAATTGCTTAAGGACTTTTCATGGCTTTGCTTTTTAGATTTTTGCCAGAAGGTGGGTGCCCTTGCCAGAGAGACACACAGACAGAGAAAGAGGGAAATTGAGAAGTCACCCCTCAATGGGGATGGCCACACTGACATCCCTTCTCCTCCATTCTCCCTCGGGATTTTTTAGGCATGCACACACATGTGAGCTTTTCACACCTTGAGGTCCAGGACTCAAATGGCAGAGTTGGCCATTCGAGGATCCAGAGCCTTAACTCCCACACTACCTGCTGGCCTCGCTTTCAAATGAAGTTGAATTGCCTATGGGTGGTTAATCATAACAATTCATTTTTATTCGTCATATATATATTTTTAAATGGAACAAGTCATTTACAGAACTCTAGATTTCAGTATCTCTTACATAATTTGCCAGTTTGCTTCGGGAAGTCATATTTCCTGAATGTACCCAGTCTTGTGGGTTTTCATATGTACCTGTTAGCACCTTGAGAGTGGCTACCGCTAAAGTGCCAGTATGGTTGTCACCTGTAGTGACACACGTGCTTGGAGCTTGGACCTTGGACCTTGGACATGTTGTGATTACTTTCTAGAGGGCCAATCTTTTCTTTCTTTTCTTTTCTTTTTTTTTCAAAGATGGGAACTATTACTATTATAATGCAAGTTGGTGACAAAAAAGAAGTCACTCATTAGTTCACCCGACAACATTTTTTCTAGTTGAATACAAATAGATGTATCTGAACACCATATTTGTCTTACTGCTTTAGACTTACATTTGAAATACAGCATATTGTTAATAAATTTCATTTCCACAAAGTTGATGACATTGTCATCTTCTGATTCAACAGCCGTCTGTATTCCTAAGAAAAGCAAAGAGAAACCTGTAAAGAGGCAGTCATTTTTCCTTTTACATAAAAGGAACCTTTTACTACAACTTTGTGTTACCTCCGAATTCAGAAGCTAGTGTATCACCCAGTACGGAATGAATACTCTGGGCATTTAATGAAGGCCAGGAGCCAGGAACTTCAGCTTATTAATATCCTCCCCCGTTATTTATTTATTTATTTAGCCCGAAGGTGTAATGCATTCACCAGAGAGACAAAGACAGAGAAAGAGGGAGAGGAGAAAGCCGCCCCTATGAGAATGGTCACACTACAATCTTTTCTCCTCCACCTCTCCCTCCTTTTGAGATTTTGGGCACATGCACACATACATATGCCTGGCATGTTTTTCTCAAGTCACTGGTCTAGGACTCGAACTGTGCAATCGGCCATGTGGGATTCAGCTGTCTTAATTACTAGGTCACAGAGCTGGTCCCAAACACCCATGTTTAAATGTTCTCGTATAAACCATCAGACACTTAGATTCTAGAAAGCATTTTCTCATTAAACATATTAGAAAGGTTGGGTAGGTGCTTCACTATTGACCTGAATTATTGTTCTATTATTCCTCAGGAAAATATAAATATATTGCCAGTACACATATAGCTGCATCTGAGGATGCTTAACACACCTAATCCTGTCCTTTCACTGGGGGCTGGTTTCATCCCTGTCTTACAGCCAGTGGGTTCCCATTGGTGAGAGCCTGGAAGTTTGTGACTTTATTGCCTAAGAGCTGAAGGTGAGGCAGTGACAAACACGATGTTAACCTTTTACTACAACTTTGTGTTACCTCCGAATTCAGAAGCTAGTGTATCACCCAGTACGGAATGAATACTCTGGGCATTTAATGAAGGCCAGGAGCCAGGAACTTCAGCTTATTAATATCCTCCCCCGTTATTTATTTATTTATTTAGCCCGAAGGTGTAATGCATTCACCAGAGAGACAAAGACAGAGAAAGAGGGAGAGGAGAAAGCCGCCCCTATGAGAATGGTCACACTACAATCTTTTCTCCTCCACCTCTCCCTCCTTTTGAGATTTTGGGCACATGCACACATACATATGCCTGGCATGTTTTTCTCAAGTCACTGGTCTAGGACTCGAACTGTGCAATCGGCCATGTGGGATTCAGCTGTCTTAATTACTAGGTCACAGAGCTGGTCCCAAACACCCATGTTTAAATGTTCTCGTATAAACCATCAGACACTTAGATTCTAGAAAGCATTTTCTCATTAAACATATTAGAAAGGTTGGGTAGGTGCTTCACTATTGACCTGAATTATTGTTCTATTATTCCTCAGGAAAATATAAATATATTGCCAGTACACATATAGCTGCATCTGAGGATGCTTAACACACCTAATCCTGTCCTTTCACTGGGGGCTGGTTTCATCCCTGTCTTACAGCCAGTGGGTTCCCATTGGTGAGAGCCTGGAAGTTTGTGACTTTATTGCCTAAGAGCTGAAGGTGAGGCAGTGACAAACACGATGTTTCTGCTTGGAGGTGGGACAGGGTGGGAGAGGGCTGAAGGGCTCTGGCATTTAATGGTCCTCTTTTTCCTTCAGCAGCAGCAGCAGCTTTTGACTTGGAGTATGTGCTATATTATGTTCGTTACACGAGTAATACATAAATTTGTCTTCTTGTAAAAGATCAAATAATACATTTGTATTATTTGAAAGGTATTTTGGGGGCCAGCCTTGTAGCACAGTAGTTAAGGGAGCAGGATCCAATATGGCCAAACTTGGTTTGAATTCCAGCCTCAGCAGCTTCAAAAACAGGCTGGGTGCATAGTGCCTCCAAACCCAACGGGACGGAAAGATGGAGGAAAGGGTTTGCAGCATGCCCATGTCCCTTTGGGGGAGGGTGGAGTTCTTCCTTTCTCTTTATCTCTTTCTCTGGTAGGCACTCATGTCCTCTGACAATGAAAAAAATATTTTAAAAATTTTAGGAGCCAGCATGTGGTAGAGTGGTTAAGGTGCTGGACTCCCCACATGGCCAATCATGGTTCAAATCCTGGATCTTGTGGCTTGAGAATCATGCTTGGGGTGCATATGTGTGCATGCCTGGAATCCCAAGAGGAGAATGGAGGAGAGTCAATTGTGATATGACCATCTCCCCTGGGGGGCGATTTCTTACTTTCCCTCTCATCATCTCTCTCTTTCTCTGGCAAGCACACACGTCCTATGGCAAAAACCTTAAAATAAATAAATAATTAATTGAAACTAAAAAAGAAAAAAAAAATTATATTATTGAGAAAGAAAGAGCGAGGGCAACAGGTATCCTCAACAGGGTCTTGCCACACTGCAAGCCTCCAGCCAGCCACAAACACAGGCTCGTGTGAGTGTGCCCAACATGTTCAGGTCAATCCAAGATCTGAGCCCAGCCCCCCATGGCTCCAGTATTGTGCAGTGGTGCTCTGTCACCTAGGCCAATGTAGCTGGACCTGAAACATTTTTTTATTTTTAAGGTTATTTATTTATTTATTTATTTATTTATTTATTAAAAAGAATTCTTTTATTTAACTTTATTTTAATTTGACCAGAGATGGAGGAAGGGGGAGAGAGAGAGAGAGAGAAAGAAAAAAAAGCAAGCTGCCAGGTTTGGGACTCGAACCACGGTTGCCCATGTGAGAGTCCAGCACCTTTAACCACCATGCCAGCTGCCAGCTCCTGTTTATTTATTTCTCCCATGAGTGAGAGAGACAAAGCTATAGCACCCTTACTAAGATCGAGACCGTGATCCCCCCTGACCTGTTTAGCTGACTCCAGATCATGGGCTTGGTGAGAGAAGTCTCTGATGCAGACCTGAAACTTTTCTATGTTAGTCAGCCTTGCAGAGGGTCACATTTTACCACTGTCTAGCCCTGGACCTAAAATTTTTTAAAACTCTGCCTCTTGCTCTTACCTTCTGGTCCACCCAACTCCACTCCAATATACTGCATATATTCCAGAATTTTATCATGGACGAGGGATTCCAAATCTGGAAACCCATGAACTTGAGTGTGAAAAACCTTACATATTTGTTTTCACCGACTTCTAAATGAAATTTGGCATTCTTTATATTATTAGTGTAGGACAAAAAGCTACCCATGTACCAAGCAGTATAGGCAGGAACTGTAATTACCAGGGTGTACGACGGTAAGGATTTAGTTGATCAGTGAGTGAATGGATTTAGAGGACACCATTACCTTAGAATGTAAGTCTTACTCAATATTTGAATTCATTAATCAATTAAATTTTGAAACTAGAAGTTGATGAAACACACATGAATGAGACTTAGCTCCTACCCTGCAGTGACTCAGAGAGTCAAATACATATAGTTACAAAATAGTATGATGGATGCTGTAATCGCTGGGTTTATAAGAGAGCCTCTATGTTAGGTGCTGTTGAAGAAAATTTCTCAGAGGAAGTGACTGTGCTGCCTTAGAGAAGCAGGCATTCTTTCCTTCCTTCCCTTCTTCCTTCCTTCCTTCCTTCCTTCCTTCCTTCCTTCCTTCCTTCCCCTCTTCCTTCTTTCTTTCCTTCCCTCCCTCCCTGTCCTTTCTTCTCTTTTTCCTCCTCCTCCTCCTTTTTTTTTTTTTCTTTTCTATTTTTGCTATAGGGCATGTCACTTTCACTCTGATGGAGATAGAGAAGGAAAGTGAAGTGAGAAAGGACCCCTCTCCCTCCACTGCCAGGGGAGATGACCATGCCATAGTCCCTTCTTCTTCATTCTGTACTTAGAATTTTGGGCACATATGCACATGTGCCTGGTCTGTTTTTTAAGCCACTAGGTCTGGGACTTGAACCATGCAATCTGCCCTGTGGGATCCAACCATCTTAACTTTCACACCATCTGCCGGCCCCTCTTCTTCTTCTTTTTTTTTTTTAGATTTCTTTCTTTCTTTCTTTCTTTCTTTCTTTCTTTCTTTCTTTCTTTCTTTCTTTCTTTCTTTCTTTCTTTCTTTAATTTGCCAGGGGGTGCATGCACTTGCCTGAGAAAGAGAGCGAGTGAGAAAAAAAGTGAGAAAGTAAGAAAGCACCCCAATGGGGGTTGATCACACTAAAAATCCTTCTTCTCTATTTCTCTTTCCTTTTGGGACATTGGGCACATACACACACACACACATGCCTGGTGTGTTTTTTCAGTTGCTGGGTCTGGAATTTGAACTGTGAGATCAGCCACATAGGATCCTGCTCCCTTAACCACTACACCACCAGCTGAACCAGAGACTGGCATTTTCAAGGCCAGGCAACAAGCATTCCATAAAGAGGGAAAAATGTGAGCAAATCCTAGTAACCAGGGAAGCTCAGAAAACAGGGCTTGTTTGCAGCTTCATCATTTTTATCATAAATCATACAAATCTAGTCACATTTGACAGAAAAATAAAAAACCATCATTGTGAAGCTCTTACAGAGCCGAAGATGAACTTTGCCTTGGGAATAAGAATAAAAGTATGTGAGGAGATATTCTGGGAGCACATAAATCTACAACAACCAAAGTGTGTTCTTGTCTTCTCTCCTAGTTTCAACTTGCTTAGCATCCTTACTGTGTTTTCTAGTGCTCTCACCACATGGTCTATCCCTGCATCTGGCTCTGATGTCTCAAGAACCTCTGCGATAGTCATGCATCACTTAGTATGTTCTCAGAAGTGGGTCACTGGACAACACTGTGTCGTGGAAATAAGCACGCTTCCTAGAGTGTGCTTACACAATCTAGATGGCGTAAGTGGCACACTTAGGTGTATTTACAGCCTATTTCTCCAAGGCTACACACTCGTGCAGTGTGGTTCCGGACTCAATATGTAGGCAACTGTAACACAGTGGTTAAGTATTTGTATCTCTAAGCATATCTAAACATAGAAAAGATATAGTGAAAATATGGAATAAAAGTTACAAAAAGGGTATACCTGTATAGGGCACTTTCTTTCTTTTAGTTTTACTATAGGGCATATATGCTCACTGAAGAGAGAGGGGAAGTGAGAAATCACCCCCCAGAGGGG